CGCACACAACTCTCACTACAATACGCAGTTAAACAGAGCTCAACACCGGAAAATCCAGCGCACAACAGCACTTTTCAAACAAATCCAGAAACCAGAAACAGATTCCAAAACAACGAAAAACTCCTCAAACTTTTCGGCCTCAGAATCCTTGAGGACCTCAAAAACTTACACTTTTCCAAACGAGACATCCAACAAATTCTTTTCCCCGACCTCCCTCCGTGGCACCTCACCAAGGCAAAAGTAGATTTACAGCTGACCACACACAACAAAGAAAGCACAAACACCAAAACTTTTAAAGCAGAATACAAAAAACTAATAGATAAATACCCCGGTGCGGAGCTCATCTTCACGGATGGCTCCAAAAAAGACAATGAAGTGGGCGCCGCAGCGCTTTTCCCTTTCGTCAACCAGCAGCCACCTCCCGAATCGTCATCACCCCCTAACCTTTGACACGGGTCAAACTTCCATCTATTTATAGGTAGTAGGTAGTTACCGGAACATGTATAGGCCCTAGGTGAAGTGATGTGCCGTGATAGTCGCGATATATTATTTATTGAGATTGTTTTGGTCTCTCTTTACTCATCACCACGAGAATTTCTTGAAGTTTTCCCCTGGACTCTGCCTTTACTAAAATCTCGAACCTAGATCTAGATCTAGAGTTGTAATCTAGTGGCAGGTTGCAGATTTCTGTTGTTATCCAGTACATTCAAGAGATTAAATAAATTGGACTAGACTCTAGTAGTAGACTCTTCTACTTCTACTTCTAAACCTTCGAGATTACAAAGGCCAAGCCTATGTTTGTATGGATTCGTTTTGTTAAAAGTGTTGTTTAACACAAAGTCTATGAAGTTAGCAAACCTAACACACTGTTTTCTAACTAAATGAAGCTTAAATTGACTTTTATATTGTCAATAAGAGATCAAGTTTAATCACCTAATCATTTAAGTAAGGAAGTGGCTATCCTCACCCGGGGTGAGAATAAAAACCCAACGATTGACCTCTCACCCCGGGTGAGACTTGCCAGCGTTGGCTATTCTCACCGAGTGAGAAACAAGACCTGTTTTTCCTAATTTCGAAATGCTTTCTATCGGTGTGGGTGATCAAATTGACAAAAGCAAAGAAAAAAATGACGCTATAGCACAAAAGAAAGCTAATTTGATCGTCTACAAAGATGCTATGGCTCTTTCACTTTTCGAATCGACCGAACTACGCGGGTCGCCATTTTGCTTTGCCCGAGAGTTCTCGCAAGATCTACTCCTCCCCCTTTTCTCTCTCTCTCTCTCTCTCTCTCTCTCTCTCTCTCTCTCTCTCTCTCTCTCAGCAATTTATTAAATCTGCAACCTGCAATTAGATTACTACTAGACTTTAGTAAAGGCAGAGTCCAGGGAAAAACATCAATTAAATTCGTATGGTGCAGATGAGTAAAGAGAGACCAAAACAATCTCTCTAGTGCGACTATCATTGCACATCACTTCGCCTAATACATGTTCCGGTAGATTTAACTACCTATAAATAGATGGAAGTTTGACCCGTGTCAAAGGTTGGGGGTGGTTGACGATTCGGGAGGTGGCTGCGGGTTGACGAAAGGGAAAAGCGCGGCGCCGCAGCCCTATCTCCCAACAATACACACCAGAGGAGACTCCATCCTGAAGCCTCCATTTTCACTGCGGAGGCCACTGCCATTGACATGGCACTGGACTCTGTAGAAAATTCTCCTAACAAATCTTTCCTTATCCTTTCTGACTCTCTGTCTTGCATCACCTCACTCACAAACTACACACTCTTACACCCAAAAATAGTTAGGCTACAACAGAAAATCCATACACTATCCGAAACAGGAAAAAACATCATGTTCGCATGTTTACCCAGCCATGTGGGCATCCGAGGAAACGAGCAGGTAGACGACCTGGCGAAGAAAGCTTCATCCCTTCTGCTGGGATCAACGACAAACACTCTCCCACAGACTGACTTTAGAAATAAAGTCAAAAAGTACACCTCCAGTCTGTGGGAGAGCCACTGGGAAAACCAGAAAAATAATAAATTATATGAAATTAAACCCAAACTAAAACATCGAAATCCTTCGGATCTCTCCAGAAGAGACGAAGTCATTTTTACTCGATTGCGCATCGGACACACGGCCCTTACCCACAAATACCTCCTACAGGGAGATGAGAAGCCGTTCTGTGTCGGATGCGACACAGATTTTTACCATTAGACACATTTTAACAGAATGTCTAGACTTTGGAGAGATCCGAAGGAAATATTATAAAGGCAAGAAATTGCAGGATATTTTTTCCGTCATTGTTCCCAGCAGAATTTTAAATTTTATAAAGGCCATTGGCCTTTATGGCGAGTTGTAGAGTGAATTTGATATTATTAAAAATTTTTATTGTTACTTAAAAGTTGTTTTAGATCACAAATGTATTTACACCGAATTTGAATATTTTAACTTTTTAGCATTTTAAAGTAAATTAGTTAGCCAGTCGTGAAGTGAACTTTCGCAGAGGTGAACAACTTGTGTTTCGCGCGCTCATATGACCTTAGCAGTTGCGAGCGCCGTAAAACCTTATACCATACCATACCATACCATCATTCAATTATCTTTCAGAAAATATATACTTTTGTAGGGTTTTTATTTGTTACAAGTCCATAAAGTTGATTTGTAAAGCATGTGCACGTTTTGGCTGATTAGCCCTGCCATTCCTGTTGAAACCACTTGCCAGAGTTAAGGTTAAACTTAAACCCAAACTGGGTCCGCAAAATCCTTCGGACCTCTCCAGAAGAGACGTAGTCATTTTTACTCGATTACGCATCGGACACACGGCCCTAACACGCAAATACCTCCTTCAGGGAGATGAGAAGCCGTTCTGTGTCGGATGCGACACAGATTTTACCATTAGACACATTCTAACCGACTGTCTAGACTTCAAGGAAATACATCAAATGCAATAAATTGCAAGACATTTTTTCCGTCGTTGGTCCCAACAGAATCTTGGATTTTATGAAGGCCATTGGCCTTTATGGAATATTGTAGTGTAGAACAAAATTGAATTATAATTTTTTAAAATAAAGGTTGTTTTAGACTGAAATTATATATTCACACCAGATTTTAAATTTTTTAACGTTATAAGACTGTCCCCGTAGGATTATGCGATTGTGCGGCCGCGTTTTTTTATGTAATTCTGCAACACTTGTTTAATTTTGGATTAACCGCGTTTTTTCACGTTTTTTTCCTTTTTTACCAAACCTTTCGCCATGTGACTAAAGGGACGTAATCACCGTAATAAGTCTCATTTAAGTGAAAAGATGGTTATTTCCCTTGTTAGAAGATCTTGGTTATGGGTTGTGATTTTGTTCCTTGAGCATGTTTTTTCAATCCATCAAAAGTTGTTGTTCTCATGTCTGCTGATGTTTCATGTTTGACAGGTGTCCCTGGTTTTAGTAACGTGCCAGCATCAGAGGTCCAAATGTCCTTTTTTAAATAAAAAAAAACAACATTTTTCTTTCCTCTATATATAGATCTAGATCTACAGCTGAAAGTTACAGAGATTATTATTTTTGATTGTTTTTTTTTTGTGTTTTTTTTTTTACTGATGTGTATTGTTTTCTTTTCCAAATACACAAAAAAAAATTACTGATACTGATATGTTCTGTTTTCAATTTTTCTGTACATAAAACATGAAAATCATGAAACTTCGCGTTGAAAAAGTGCAAAACATGTCGCGAATGGTGTTACGCTAACTTGCATAATTTTTGCATAATTTTGCTTTTTTTGTGCATAATTTGGCCTTCTAAATTTGCATAATTTTACGGGGACAGATAAGATGAAATGAGCCGAGCCCAGCCGTGCAGTGAACTGCAAATGAAAAACTAACTTTTGTTTTGAGCGCTCGTATGACCTTATGCAGTTGCGAGCGCCGTAAAACCCCATACTAAAAAACTAAGGTGAAATCAGGGCTCGTCTAAATAATGAAATCAAAGAAAACTGCATGTTCTTCCTGTTTGGCAATTTTTATCGAATTTCCATTTTTTTGTCTCAGTACCTTTTATGTCCATATATATATATATAAAAACACATTTCTGTGTGGATCTTACTGAAAAATGTTGTTCAAAGAACAAAGAAATATAAATCTGCAGTTTCCAATGATTCTCAAGATTTGGAAGTCATCATACTTTAAAATTAAGTACTTCACTGTTATTCTCAGGCTGTTTTTTCTGCTTTTGTAACTGTAAGGTGAAAGTTTCTAATCAGTCAAATTGTTATCCCTCCCCCTAAAGTGTGGCATCAAAGCTTTTTATTTGTCTTTTCAAACTATATAAATTTTTGGCTTGTTTAACCCCGTCTCCTGGCAGAGTTTCGAAGGCAATTACGAAGCGCCATTTTCTCGCTAATTTTTCCCCTGACACCAGGCGACCTGGACCTCCTTCAATCGCAAGCATCTTGACTTATATTCAAGGCAGATTGATATTTATTCACCAAAAGCCAAACAAATGAACAAGTTTTAAGATGATACGGAAACTCTATATGCCCCAAAATTGATGAGTGCCTGATTCTATGGCATTGTAAACAATATATTGTATGTGTTCATACAGTGCCAGATCTGCGACAGACATCGGCGATCATGGTTCTCCATTCATTCCTTTGCTTGGATGCTCTTAAAAAAGTTAGTTTTCCTGATCTTTACCTGTTATCCATTTGTTTAGGTTCCCAAAGTAGGTTGCTCTGGGCCTACCCCTGCCTCGTTTGCCTTCAATTTTGCCAGTGAGAGCTAGGTGTTCAATGTTCAAGATCCTTATATGTCTATTCAGGTATCCCAAAACTGCATTTGTCATTTCCTAATTATTTTTAACATTGAGCGTCCCACGTGGGTATATATTATTATTTTTATTATATACGTTGGTATGTGTATTATTATTTTTATATAATTTATATAATATGTATATATAAGCAAGCTATTTTTATTTTTAGCTTTACCTAAAAAAATTTTGTTTTATGACAGCTCGAAAAGGCGTTTTTGCAAAGAAAGCTATCAAACTGCGTACGATGTTTGGACCAATGGAGGCCGAAAGCTGCTCAGAAAAAGCAAGATTACCGGCCTGTAGCTTAGAATATGTGGTGCGTACAATCAGTGTTCCTGCTGTAGTCTGTTAAAAATTCTTGTTGTTAGTTAATGGCAATGGAAATGTTTGTGAATGGCATTGGGAAAGAGAGTGACAAGTGTCCATCATGGTGTGTGCCCATTTTAGATGTGTATATCGTCAAACCTTGTTATCCCCCCCCCTTTCCATTATACCACCAGCCCTGCTTACTGCCAGGTTTTGCCAATGTACAAAATACAGCACCTGCATGAACATTGCATTTGCTCCTGTACACACTGCCATCTGCCAACTGTCTGAGTTGTTTAAATTACTATAAATTTGCCCCGCTGTACTGCCAGCGAATTGGCCGTCAGGGATACACACTATACATGGTGCACGGCACCGATATGTTGGCTGCTTGATAATCTCTCCCCCACTTCACCTCGGCCTATCAGCAAAATATCCGGTGTTGCCAGATATCGGCCTGATGACCTAAAAACTGGTGGGTGTCCGTGAGGCTTTTGTTTTGTGAGTACTCGGGCTTAAGTCTACATGACACTTCTGGGACGGGCGGAGGACTGATCTACATCTGGTTATAAAAAAGTATGTCTGCAGGGACGTTGACTTTAGCTAAACTTCTGATTTGGCAGAAATTTTTTATTTGAATTTACATGAAGTCATTAAGTTATAATGGGTTTGAAATTGTTCATGCGCACGCACATGCACATACACACACACACACACACACACACACGAGTACAGTAGTCTCCGCCCAAACGCACGCTTTCGTCCTCTGACGGTTTTTTGTACTACATAAAACTATATACTATATATACATACGTATATAATTTAGACGTACAAACGCACGGTCACTCCCCCTAAACGCATGCTCCAATCTGCGAAACACGCTGACAGGTAAAGCTTGACTAAGGGAAATTTCACTACGACTACTGTACGATCTGCATAGCTTGCTTAAGACAAGCCTAGAAAACCGGATATTTTGCGAGACTGCCCCTTACGCCAAACAAAGAGAGTGATGGACAGCATTTTCACACACAACTTTCCAGACACATAGGTCTAGGACTGGTTGGTGATATGTTGGGGGGTTGGGGGACTGAAATGTTTTTTTATCTTGATCTAGGCCTGATGCGCGACATGCGTAAATGCCGTAAAACACTAGACAGGCCTCTATAGGATTAAAGATTAGCCAAATAAGCTGCGCTCGAAGAACTTATAATGTACTTGTTCAACGAATCACAAGAGAATATGTTTCTCGAGGATGATTCTGCATAAATTTACGGTCGGGGATGGTCGCTTGGAAAGCCATGTGGCTGGGCCGTCGTCGCTATGACTATCACCAACAGTTTCCTCTTAGGCTTTCTGTTCCCGACGTTTATAGTGCATATTCATTACATTGAGTTTGTCTTTCTCCCCCCCCCCCTTCCACCCCATTCAACGCCGTTGTATTCTTAATCCCTGTCGGGGAATCCTTCACAAAACAGTCCCGTGTCGTCACATTATCTGCCAAAGTAACCCCCTCCTCCAAGGGAGATCACTAGAGTAATAAGGAATTGAGATGACTGCGTCCCTTCCTCCCCTTGCAAAGGTTCATGTAAACGCACGCTCCGTATAAACACACGCTAAGGAGCCCTCCCGAGCACCGTGCGTTTAGAGGCGGAGACTACTGTATCACCAACAATTTCTTTTTAGGCTATTGGTTCCCGGTATTTTATGGTGCATTCATTACATCGAGTCTGCCTTTCTGTCTGCCCCCCACACCCATTCAACGCCTTTGCAATCTTAACCGCAGTCGGGGAATCTTTTACAAAACAGTCACGTGTCGTCACATTATCGGCCCAAAGTGACCCCCTCCACAAAGGGAGGTCACTAGAATATCAAGGCATGAGATGACTGCGTCCCTTCCTCCCTTTGCAAAGGTTCATGTAAACGCACGCTCCGTATAAACACACGCTAAAGAGCCCTCCCGAGCACCGTGCGTTTAGGCGGAGACTACTGTACACATGCACGCATAAAATTAACACTTGCAGACACTCACACTCACACACACACACACACACACACACACACACATGCATGCACACACACATGCATACACACACTCAAACACAGAGGGGGGGGGGGGGAGTGAAAGAGAGAGAGAGAAGACTCTCAATTTTAAAGACATGTACAATAAATCACCAACAGAAAGACACTTTTCACACACAGTTTACATGTCTGAATTATTTCCCTTGACGTATTTTGCAAAAGAACCCCATTAAACCCCCAACCCCGCTACTCTGCAGTAAGCTGGCAAAACACCTTTCCTCCCCCCTCCCCCCCCTGTGGGTTGGGGGTATATTAATAGACCCACTACCCCGTCTGTAGGAGGTTTAACCCCTCCAATGACGAAGTGTCGCACCCGGACCCCAGCCCTGTTGGATCCTGATGCAACACCTACTTTGATGTATCTTCCTCTTCTTCTTCCTTCTTTCTCACTTCTTCTATCTCTTCTTCCAAAGCTGACCTCATGTGGAGCAAAACTAGAGGTCACCTATCCCACAGAGTGGGCGCCTCGTTGACCGTGAGATGCGTCCTGTGCGGAGGGAAACGGGGTATGTACCTGGCAGTTGAGGTGAGATCAGTCTGCGGACTGTCCCTCGCCAACACACCTCTTTGGCCCAGGTTTTCCTCTTAGACAGGAGGGTGGCACGGCCCATGCCACTCAATCGTTGGGAGCTGAAACCCCTTCAGGCCCTGGGTCAATCTTGACGGGAGAGTCTTTCACACTCTCGTGAAGAGTATAACTCCATGGCAGCCCTGGTACAGCTCCGGTTGTCCGAGCAATGTCGCCCTTGTTGGGCTCAATGGCGGATGGGGAGCCCTGGAGCTGAACCATCTACATATCTTATATAGAATTTAAAAAACCCAAAGACCCAGCTCCCAACGTAAAGAACTCTCGGCTTGCGGAGGCGGGTGCGGCCGCCAGGCCGAGCAAACCATTGACCTCTATCTCTTCAGGAAAAGGGACCTTTACGGTTGCCTCTACCCTCCCTCTTCCCAGGGAGCTTCCATTGACCTCTATCTCTTCAGGAAAAGGGACCTTTACGGTTGCCTCTACCCTCCCTCTTCCCAGGGAGCTTCTGCGGCAGCCGTACTTGACCATCCGCAGTGCCAATGCGCAGAAAAAGATCACATATCTTTGACAATGACAATCTTTATTCATCTCACAGGGAGAAATTTGTCTTGGTCGTTAACAATGGCAGAAGACGTTACAAAAGTTAGACCTCATGGTGCACTCATGCAAACCCACAACAAGACAGGACTTTAGGCTTAGTATACATGTCTCACATACATGATACTGGGACAACCCGCTCCGTAAAACATTCTCAAGGCACTGCAGGTTGCAAGAGAGACGGAGGCCTACCAACTGGACATATTGGGTCTCTGTGAGATGAGATGGACGAATGCAGGGGAGTGCCAACTTGCTTCAGGGGAAACAGTTCTCTACTCTGGACATCTGGAGGGAAACTCGCAGCATACAGAAGGAGTAGGTATTCTGTTATCAACACACGCCAAGTGAGCTTTGATAGGATGGAAAGCAGAGGGCCGGCAACTAATATCAGCTGAATTCCGTTCACAGAAGAAAGACATCAACCTTCATGTTATCCAGGGATATGCCCCCACCAATGATAAGGACCAGGATGTGAAAGAGACTTTCTACAAAATGCTACAAAATACTATTGATCAGGTTAGAAGGAAGGACATTTTGATTTTAATGGGAGACTTCAACGCTAAGGTAGCAGTGACAATGTAGGCTTTAAAGGAAATCATGGGGAAACACAGACTTGGAGTCAGAAATGAGAATGGAGAACTCTTTGCAGAAATATGTGCGACGAATGGGCTCATGATAGGAGGGACTGTTTTCCCATATAAACAGATACACAAATCAACATGGGTCGCCAGACCAACAAACTGAAAACCAGATTGACCACATATCTGTCCCCGTAGAATTATGCAAATATAGAAGGCCAAATTATGCAAAAAAAAGCAAAATTATGCAAAAATTATGCAAGTTACCATAACGCCATTCGCGACATGTTTTGCTCTTTTTCAACACAAAGCTTCATGATTTTCATGTTTTATGTACAGAAAAATTGAAAACAACATATCAGTATCAGTAATTTGTTGTGTATTTGGAAAAAAACCCAATACACATCAGTTTAAAAAAAATAAAAATAATAATCTCTTAACTTTCAGCTGTAGAAGTCTAGATCTAGATCTAAAGGAAAGGAAAGAAAAATGTTTAAAAAAAAAAAAAAAAAAGGACATCTGGACCTCTGATGCTGGCATATTACTAAAACCAGAGACACCTGTCAAACATGAAACATCAGCACACTTGAGAACAACAACTTTTGATGGATTGAGAAAAATTGAACATGCTCCAGGAACAAAATCACAACCCATAACCAAGATCTTCTAACAAGGGAAATAACCAACTTTTCACTTAAATGAGACTTTTTACGGTGATTACGTCCCTTTACTCACATGGCGAGGTGCTAATTAATTGTTTTGTGAAAAAAAGGAAAAAACCCTGAAAAAACGCGGAGAATCCAAAATTATGCAAATGTTGCAGAATTACGCGAAAAATCGCGGCCGCGCCAGCCGCGCCAGCCGCGCCAGCCGCACAATCGCATAATCATACGGGGACAGACATATGTGTCAACAAGAAATTCAGGAGATCAAATAAGGGATGTTAGAGTTTACAGGGGTGCAGACGTAGCTTTGGACCATCCTCTGCTCATTTCAACAATCCGACTAAAACTAAAGCGAAGACAGGGAATTGTCAATAATCATAGGTACCGGTACAACGTGGAATTTCTGAGAGAGTCATCGTCAAGAGAGGAGTTTAATGTAGCAGTTAAGAACAGGTTCCAAGTGTTGGAAGCACTAGGCGAGGATAGCAGCATGGAAGAAACATGGGAGGCAATAAAAGAAGGCTGGACCACTGTGTGTCAAGAGGTACTGGGAAAACGGAAA